TGCTTCGCGGCTCGTTAAATGTCTACTATTAGCCACCGACACGTCGGTAAATAGTTATTGCTTATATCTGAAATAACCTCGATTTACAGAATTCGTTTCAGCACAAATGAAGAAAACATCATTTTCTCCATTAAATGATTTCCGGCTCAGTTTTATTAACGTAAGCATTTACAACTTAGTACTAGTACAAGACTTCAACCTTATAAGGGTGCCAAGACATCGGGAGGATCTCGAAAAATTCTCAGTTCAAACCTCGATATATGAGGAGGTATGTAGCATTATCAGAATTTATAACTGCTAATTTAACCTAAGGTTATTGAACAATTATCGAGTACCTTTTGTGGCATCGTAGTGGCCTGGCCCAGAATGATCATATGCAATGTAGATGGGTGTGGTGGTAAGGAATTCGTGTGGTAGGAATGGCACCGTAGGTGTTGAAGGAGAGCGGTAATAATCACAATTGGAATTTTCAAGACTTTAGCTGTTGCTCTCGCGCATAAATCACCAACTTCATTTGCGAAAAAATCCGTCTTGGCTAAATTTGTAAACTTCCTCTAACCCATTAACGCCAGTTGTCATCCAGTCTCTGTACTCTTCAATGTTATCAGAGACTTCTTTCACAAACAGCTCCCTAAGTCTACGTGTGTCGAAGGCTTCACTAATTCCTAATCCAAGGGAAGTGCAATGCCCTTCGATATGTTCCTTATATTCCCTCAGGTGTCTATTGAGCTGTGAGGCAACTGCTCTGAAAAAACAGTTCCCATCTCTTTTGATCTTGTCAACTTCAAGGTTAAAACCCGAAAGATTCCTTATCAAATTGTCCATGTGTTGAGCAGTTAAGTCTAATTCCAAAGAATTCATCTTTTTCTCTACTTCTATAAACTTTTCAGTTTTTAAACTGGTGGACCAAAGGAAAGCCAGGATATCTACCGTTTTGTTTTTACATCTTTCCGTAAAGGCGTCCATAAAATCTTGGAGATGTAGAACTCTTTGGATGATATAATCTACGATACTCCGGGTTTTAAGTCGCTCTACGAGTCCCGGAAAATTTACTTTACTCCGTGTGCTCATGAAGTCCTCTGCATGAGACATTTCAAATTGCTTCATGTGTTGTTGTGGCGATGAAAGGTTACCTTCTCTAATTATTTCAACTGGCATAACAGGCTTAGCTCTCGAGGTCAATCTGTTTATTTGTCGTTTGCAATTCCAGGCAAACAATGCACAACTCATTACAGCTATCGCGAGTTCTGGTCCAATCTTAGAGACACCACAGAGGAGCGATCTATTTATATGTCTGTGTAGACGTTCATTCTTTTCTGTTCCACACCCAGGAGGTATGTCCGAAAGACAACCCTTTTGTATGTGTTTGCGAAGGCATTCTAATTGATGGAGAGTTTCCTTAGACAAACGATCCTTCCAAGAAAACAATAACCGTTCTAGGTTTGCCTCGATCTCATCTGAGCCAGGCGTACTCGTTGTCCTTTCTGTACCAAGGTCTCCATTTCGACGTAAAATGAGAGACAATTCAGAGGAAAACTGCTTACCGTAACTGTCTTTTTTTTGGAAATAGTTTGAACTATCCTTGAGCATGCATGAAACAAGTCCAATCTAATTTTTACTCCTGGAAAGATGCGTTCGTATAGATTTCTTACATGACAACAGTCGTCCACTAATCCATAAGTATTGGAACTCTCACAAAAACGTTTTGTAAGAATAAAAACAGCAAAACAATATTTTCGTAGCTGGGATAAAGAATCCCAGGTGGGATATGTAAATCCCGACCAGGATCCCGGGTAGAATGCATAAGTCCCACCTAGGATCCCGGGTGGGATGCAGGAATCTCGCATTAAAGGCGGGATCCCAGGCGGGATCAAATTTTCATCCCAGGTGGGAAAGGTGGGATCCCACCACCTAAGGCGGGATCCCGCCATTCCCACCTGGGATCCTGGGTGGGATTGCCGGGATCCCATCTATATCCCGCCTGACATTTTACCTGGGTAAGGTTTTTTTTTTCTAATTCAGATCTGAATTGAAAAAAGAGAGGAAATCAAGTGAAGTTGCCATTAACGGGATTGCTATTTATCATTTGCAGGAGAAATGGATTCATTGAAAGATTCCCTTACTCCACGGGAAGTAATACCAAAGAGACGACCTAGAAAAGAGGTCACTTACAAGGTAAAGACCTTTAGCAGTTAAAACATTCATGTAAATATGGGAATGGTAGTTAATCATGGCTAAGAGGGTGCTGGTGTTTATTAAAAAAAAAAAAAGGTACAGAGAAAACTTTGCACGTTTATGAAAACTTACCCTAATTCCCGATTTATGTGCTGTACACCCCAGTTTTATCTGAAGATTGCTCTGTCTTGGTTCACTCGTGGGTGGTGCGTAACGCTTGGAAGTTCTTTTTTTTGTTATGGTATATGGTGTTATGATAAATAGCGTAACTATAAACCGATTGCAAAACCTTAAATGTGTTTCTGGTAACATAACTTGGGATGAA